GACCGAGTTACATCAAGCCTCAGCCAGACTGAGCACTACTTAAAGCCTTAGCCAGACTGAGCACCAAGGTGGAGTCCTGACCAAATTACTTAAAGCCTCAGCCATACTGAGCACTAGCGAAAGCCTCAGCCAGACTGAGCATGAAGACCTCAGCCAGACCAAGATACATCAAGCCTCAGCCATACTAAGCACTACCGAAAGCCTTAGCCAGACTGAGCATGAAGACCTCGGCCAGACTGAGTTACATCAAGCCTCAGCCAGACTGAGCACCACTTAAAGCCTCAGCCAGACTGAGCACCAATGGGGAGTCCTGACCAAATTACTTAAAGCCTCAACCATACTGAGCACGAAGACCTCGGCCAGAAAAAGTTTACAAAAGCCTCAGCCAGACTGAGCATGAAGACCTTGGCCAAATCGAGTTTACAAAGTCTCAGCCAGACTGAGCATGGAGAAGACTCCAAACCACACAGATAACCACTCCTCTAACATGAGCACAAACAACAATGAAGGAGTTCAACATCATGACTTGGGACCAAGCTCTAAATATACGTCAGTTTGCTGTCTGCCCTAGATCATTTCTAAGACCCCCACTTGGGAGACCAATCGACCGATCCCAATGGGCGACCGACAACCGTATAGAAGACCTCCATGAGGAAATCCACTATATGGGAGGACAGCCATCATGCGAAAGACCACCATATGGGAGACCTCCATGCGAAAGGCCTCCATATGGAAAACCACTATGCGGAAGACAAACATTTGGGAGGCCACCAGCTGCTCCACAGCTTGAATGCCATCAACATCAAATGGAGACTAAGCACACTATAAGTGGGCATATATTGCTTTCATGGCTGAAATATTGGCAAAAGCCTCCATCACCACTCTGTTCTGGAGCTTCTCATCGTCATTGTCAGCATACTAAGACCCATCATTGCTCATGTTATTATCATATTTGACTGATAAAGTATGATATTGAACTCTAAATAAGGTCCACCGACATGGCCTACAAAAAGCCAGCTCACCGTTCACACGGACTCACCGAGCACCATCACATTAGATCAAGTAATGGTTCGACAGTGTGTCCAAGCACACTCACACAACAACCAAGCCCTCCAAGGCACTACAAGAAGGGCCCCAGCCGAGCCTCCTAACCCAAACAATCCATCTCCATACTTCACGAAGAAACGCCGACAGCGTTAACCACTTGATTGAGCAAAACCAAGCCATGTTCCAACGAGAACTACCAGTTTCTACCCCTCCGCCTCTACAAATCGTCCGTCAAAATTAGGATCAAGTCCAAAACAGCCGTCCTCAGCAACAATAGGGACCCCTTCTTCCACCACTCGCTCTGCGAGCAATAGCCAACCATCTAAAATCCATCGGCCTACTGCCAAAAAGCACTGGCCGACCACCAAAGTACTCCGCCAACCTCCAAAACTGCTCGACCGACCTCCAAGGCTTCTAATAGTCATCGGCCGACCTCCAAAAATTAGCCAACCTCCAAGACTTCCAACAGTCGTAGTCCGACCCCCCGGTCATCAGTCGACCTCCAAAATCATTAGCTGACCGTCCAACACACTCTGCAAACCGAGTGAGACCCTGCGGGCTAAACAAACTCAACAAGACTGGGTCTAATTCTACAAGTAAGGTGTTCAACTTCTTCTACATCGGCTAACCGTCCGAAGCCTCAATTAAACTGAGCCCAAAGACCTTAGCTAGACTGAGTGTACAAAAGACTCCCAGACCGAGCACCCATAGAGCCTCAGCCAGCCTGAGCACATTAAGATCTTGGCCAAACCGAGCACCAAAAAGCCTCAGTCAAACTGAGTACAAACTTACGGTACGAGCTAATCCATCACCCGACTGCCCAGGTCCTTAGCCGACCTTCCAAAGGCCTCAGCCTCGGTTGCATTGCTCTACACAAGGGCTAGAACTTTACATTCCTCGCAATTTCGCACATGCCAACTCCTCTCGGCGCATGCAGTATGCGCCGTTTTGCGCCGGCCCAAAATCTCCAACTTTACTCCCTTTAACTCTCACTGCGCCTTGCCCAGTTGGTTTTTGAGCGGTCCTACCTCTATCGCATCACCCACTCATTTGCTCAATAAATTTGGCCACCGTCGCCCTGCCTCCTTCCGTGACTTGGGGGACTACTTTACTCTTTCTTATTCCCTTCGTTGGACTAAAGCTGCACTCGGGAATAAGAGACTACTGATTGGCATAGCCCAAATAAGTGGCCCAATGGGTTGTCCAAACAATTCCTAACCCAACTTAGGCCCAAGGGCCAGACAAGAAGAAGAGACAAGCAACCTCCTTCTGTGAAGTCCACGGCATGACAACACTACCACAGACTTATGGCTGATAGGACAGGTTGACTGACAGGGCATGGTAAGCGAAGAGGCCAGAAAGGTATGAAAAAAATCAATATATACAAGTAATCACTCTCTCTCTAACGACCTTCTACTTTCTCTCTAAGCAAAAAGCTTCCATTTTTCTACTAGAGACTGCTCTAACTTAAACATCGGAGGGTCCTCAAGAAGGAACCCCACCTCCGGGGTCCTTCTCGACGGACTTAGTGTAGGTACAACTAGAAAGACGAGGTTCAATCATCCTGTGGAGCATCCGGACCCTGTCCGACCCATTCCTCATCCGACAAAACTACATTATCACATTTAATATGTACTTTATTTTCGTAACAGTAAAAAATATACTGATTTGCTTAATGACAGTAAAATTTTACTTTGAATCATAATAAATTTTACTTTGATCTAGAGTAAAATTTTACTCTTTTTTTATTTTATTTTAATTACAGAGTAAAATTTTACTCTAAATCAGAGTAAAGTTTATTATAATTCAAAGTAAAATTTTATTTTGAAACAAGCTGCAATGATGGCTTTACAAAAGAGTTTTGTGTCATGAACCAAAGTAAAATTTTACTGTTGAAATAGTAGAGCATCATGAGAAGAAGAAAAAGAGACAGAGTTCGAAAACAGAAGGTCAAGAAAAGAAGTAGAAGAAGAAGAGAGACACAGAGGGAGAGAGAGAGCACGAACTATCAAAACCAAAGAGAAAGAGAGAGAGAGAGAGAGAGTTAAGGATCTTAGATTTGAGGTTTGTGAACCGTCGCAAATCGTCATTTTCCGGTGACAACAATTGTGAATGATCTCAGATATGAAGTTGTGGATGCAACAAATGATGGTGGTAATGAAGACGGTAGAGAAAGAGTTCTGTGGTGAGCGGCGGTGGTGCCGATAGAGAGCAGTAATGGCACCGATGAAGAGAATAGTGATAAGTGTGAGACAGAGAGAACATATAGTGAGATAAGAGAGAGTGATTACAAGTTAATACACACACACACATATATATATATATGAGGGTATTATAATAAAAGAAATAAGTTTTAAAATAGTAGGAGATTTTGAAAAGATCTATATAATTCTTATCCTTTTGAATGACAAGTTAAATACTAAGAGGCCTATCACCAAATCTCTCCTTTAAAAAATCGCAAAATATGTCTAATTTGATTCGTTTTATAGCTCAAACTAGGAAAGCTTGAAATTTGGTGGGTTGGGCTGGGCATATTGACCATGAATGTAATAATTATTTAAAAAATATCATAAATTATGAAAATGTATTTTAAATCTTACCATGATAGTGAGTGAGGGTGTAAATTTAAAATTAGTGAGATATGGCTCATATTTGAAATGATTGTACATCATTAATTTTTTTTTTTTCTAGATAATTTTCTGAATTGATAGTATGACTGTAATTATGTATTTATTTTCATGAGATTATTGTCATTCTTGCTCCTACTCCTAAGGAAAATTTTAAATCAGTGTTCATGTGTGAAACCTGTGCTCACCACACAATGTTACATGATTAAATCAACAATGAATCAAACAAAGTTCAAGCTCAGATCAATTTAAAATAATGCTCTAAAAGCATATAATTTTCAATTAAATCAAGAAAACAACAACTTTATTATAATATTAGTATTGTTTATTTTTTATCAAACCTATGCAAGTTTAGATATATATGACAACTGGGTTGTTTGAAGGTCAATTTGTTGGAGCGACAAAGACAAAAACCCTATTAACCAATACACATTCAAAGGCTGTTTCAAACCAAAAAAGCTTATAATTTATTCTATTTTTTTTAATCAATTGATTGAGAGTTTGCCGTCTCTTGACAATTCAAAACTCAATCCATCACCATCCCCATCCCCTTAAACTTTCAAAATTACTTGTCCTTGGCGGAGATTCTTTGTTCTCAAAAGTTTTTGTTTTCTCATATCCATGCATTTCTAGCCGTACGATGTGGAAAAAATTTTGTGACACAATCATGATGTTAAAAATGTATTAGATAATAAAAAAATAGAGAATTTTGAATATAGAAAATCTCATGTCCTTGCCTTGTCTCCGAGCATTGTTTGTAGAACAAAAATGCTATGTTACCTCAAAATTTATTTCGAAAATTAACCCAAATCTAAATTAACAGTGCAGATTTAAAATTCTTATTATGGGGAAACTACTAGAACGAATCTTGTTCATAGATTTCAATTTCTAATTAGTTTTCTAAGTAAATTTTCTTAGTAAATAGAATTGTGGGTTTGTAGAAGATGCAGACTTGAAAACTTAATCGTTCTATTTGGTTGCATTTTGTTTTTTGCTTCTTTTGAGCCAATCTTAAATGAGTTTTAATTAATTAATCACAAGCTGCTTGAATAAATTAGTTTTTTTTTTATAACAAATATAATTGAGTATTTTATTTTTTGCTTCTTTTGAGCCAATCTCAAATGATTTTCAAATATATTAATTTTTTTTATAGCTAATATTATCGAGTCAAGACGAGTAGTAAATTGTTCAAATTTAACTTATTTTCTAAAACAAGTTTTTAACCAACATTGCTTGCTTTTACACCCATGAAACTCAACAACCATGATATGTACACAAGCAAATAAGTTAATAACAAGAACAAATAAGAGACCCTTAAGCAAGACTCTTGTAACCTTTAAAAAAACCATTAATACAACATCACATCCTCCAAAATACAGCACACACCAACATCATGAAAATGCTCTTCACCGTCCCTTCCATTTCATTATTTTAACTCACACCCAAACACCAACTCCTCTCACCTCTCTCTCTGTCTTTCCTCTTTGGTCAATGACCAATTTAAACACCATCCCATAACAACCATACCTCCTCCTCCTCCTCCTCCTCCTCCTCTTCATCTCTCAAACACACACGATTTCCAACACGATGGTGCTTGATGAATCTGATCCAATATCTAGCTCTGATCACATATTAGATTGGTTGGAAGGCTCAATATCGTTCCTTCCATCGTTTTTAGAGGATCCATATAACTCTGGCGATTTAAACGGTGATCAATGGTGGGTTCAAGGGTGTCAAGATCTAGGACAAGAGTTTTTGAATACTAGTTCTACTTCTTTTAATAGCGCTTCTACCATCACCACCGCTACCAGCACCACGCTAACAGGTCCCATCGTCACGAACGATGTACCACCATCTGATTCATGCAAGAAACGGAAGGTGTCCGATGACCCGGTTCCCAAAGCACCTCAAAATCAGCGGAAGAGTCAGAACCGTCGGGTCAACAAGGCCACTGACGATGGGGATGCAGTGGTGGAACAAGGGGTGACGGTTAAGAAATCAGTTGGGACCAAAAAGGCATCAGCCAAGTCAGTTGGAAATAACTGTAATAACGGTAATAACAGAGAAGGGAGGTGGGCAGAGCAGTTGCTCAACCCTTGCGCCGCTGCGATCACCACCTCAAATATGACACGTGTTCAACACCTGTTGTACGTCCTCCACGAGCTCGCTTCTGCTAGCGGTGATGCCAACCACCGCCTCGCTGATCACGGACTCCGAGCCCTGACCCATCACCTCTCCTCCCCTGGCTCCTCTGTTTCAGTTGGGACTATCAATTTTGCTTCCACGAAACCCCAATTTTTCCAAAAATCACTGATGAGATTCGACGAGGTTAGTCCCTGGTTCATGTTTCCTAACAAAATTGCCAACACTTCGATCCTCCAAATCCTTGGAGAGGAGGACAGGTCTCGGAATCTTCACATCCTTGACATTGGAGTTTCTCATGGATTTCAATGGCCAACCCTACTCGAAGCCTTGACTCGCCGCCCCGGTGGTCCTCCTCCACTTGTCCGCCTCACAGTCATCGGAGCCACCACTGACGATGATCGAAATCCAGATATTCCATTCGCAAACGGTCCACCGGGCCATAGCTCCTCCACCCAACTCCTCTGTTTTGCCAAGTCAATGAACATCAATCTACAAATCAATCGCCTCGATAACCACCCATTACAGAATCTAAATACCCAAATCATCAATTCCTCACCCGATGAAACGTTAATCGTTTGCTCTCAATTCAGACTCCACCATCTGAATCACAACTGCCCTGATAACAGAACCGAGTTCTTGCGAGCATTAAGGAGTTTGGAACCCAAAGGCGTGATTTTAAGCGAAAACAACATGGATTGTAGCTGCAATACTTGTGGGGACTTTGCAACAGGGTTTTCGCGACGCGTTGAGTACTTGTGGAAGTTCTTGGACTCGACAAGCGCGGCTTTTAAAGGCAGAGAGAGCGACGAAAGGAGGATGATGGAAGGAGAGGCTGCAAAGGCGTTGACGAACTCGGAGGAGATGAATGAATGGAGGCAGAGGTGGTGTGAGAGGATGAGAAGGGTTGGTTTTGTTGGGAAAGTGTTTGGAGAGGACACCATTGATGAAGCAAGAGCTTTGCTGAGGAAGTATGATAGTAATTGGGAGATGAGAGTGGAAGAGGAAGATGGGTGTGTGGGTTTGTGGTGGAAAGGACAGCCTGTTTCATTTAGTTCGTTATGGAAGTTGGATCTGAAACAAAGTAACATGTAACAGAGTTATTGTATGTTTTTTCATCTTTCCTCTTCTATGTATATTACCTCTAGAGTGTCAACTATGAAGACATAAATTTCAAGGCTAGTTACACTTTTTGTCAACTATGAAGACAAATTTCAAGGCTAGTTACAGTTTTTGTCATTTATACCTGATATTTGATTCGGCTGGATTTGGTAAAGCTAAACCCGGCTCCATTTATATATATATATATATAAATCATATACTATGTAAATTCATTTAATAAAACAGTCGAACTTGGTATTATAATAAGTTCGGCTTTTTATACATTAATATAGTAAAATCTATTATATGCATATTTAATACTCTTTCCTTCCATATTGATAGTCTCTTCTCAAAATTTTATACCTAATCTTTACACTTTGAATTCAAATTTTCGAGAATTATTTTTAAAAATACCCTTCTATTATTATTTTTAAAATATATTTATCACTGCTTTACAAAGGGTAATTTGGAAACTTATAAATTTAAAATTTTGACTTTTCAAAGTGGACATGTATTTTGAAACAACGAAAAATAAAATAATAACCCAACAAAATAAGACAGATGAAGTATGAAATAATATCTACCGAGCTAACCGAGTTTGATAATCGAGCCAAACTATTTCTTCATTATCAAGTTTCGAGCAGAGATCAAGCCCGCAACGCTCAACCCTACAAGCAAGTAACTAAGCAGGTCTGTTCTGTGATCATCGAGTTACATAGGAGGGAGAGAGAGAGAGAGAAGAAGACGACTTGCAACATGTGTTTCAGTCCAAATTACTATTTAACTCCATGTTTTCACATCTCTTCCTCATTTATTATCAGAGTTCAACAGAACTACACAAATTTTAATGTTCAATATACACTTGAGTGACCGGTTCACATCACAATGACAAAATTCATCAAAACTCTGCATATTCATTGTATCTCTTCACTCCCCAGCTCCTTTAACCCAATGTGTACACTATAATTCTATTGCTACCGAGTCAGCATAACTTCCGAAGAAAATCCGTTACCCCTGCTTTACGAAAACGTATTTGTTAAACAAAATGTTAATTTTCCATTTCTCAAGAATCATATATCCTCACAGAACTCCGGATTGTTTGCCTACACACAGGACACTTAGGAGCCAGGTCGCGTTCAACTGAAAGGGCACAACGTTGGCAACAAACCAGATGCCCACACGGAACAAATGCAGACCGCCTTCGCCTCATCAAGCAAATAACACACAACGCTCCATCTGGAATATCTCCGGTCTCCTCTGCTGCAATCTGAGGATCAGCATCGTCGGTATCAGGGGGGGTTTGCTGTTTGACTCGCCGCCCCGGTGGTCCTCCTCCACTTTCCATCTACTCCAGTTCCTGTATCACATAATCTAAGTCAAATTAGTATTTAAAATTCGATCTTTTCAGCTTATTTGACCAAAAAAAAAGTGAGATTTTCTCGAACTACAATTTGTAGCTTACATATGTACAAAATCACTTATTTAACCAAACAAGTTAAAGACTTTTTTCACAAATTATCAAAAGCTGCACCAAACAGATTTACAATTTATTTTAATTCTTTTAATCTAATAATCTAAAAAACAATAATCATAAAAGCTAACTTATGAGTGATATCAAGCGGACCCTTTAAAGCTTAAAGCACACTTCGGGCAGTAAATTTCATATGTTCATGCCACATGTTACAAAGAGCATGCACTTGGCCAGATGAGAATGGCATTTTCCTTTATTAACCTAACCCTCAACTTTTCCAAGAACCATGGGTCATCAGGTTTATTCTGCAGAAAACTACTGAATGTCAACAGAAAACTACTGAACTACATGAGGCTAAGGATTAGAAATTCAAATTTATTGAAGTGAATAAATACATATCTCATTAATAGGGCTGTATGACAATTTTGGTACCTTACGGCAGCATAGCCAAGGATACCAATTGAGAATGCACCAATCACAACGCCACTCCACAATAACACTTTAGTCCTGAATGCAAGTGCTACCACCATGTGATCCTTAGTCAAATCGGACCTGCAAAACCAGCAACACTGACTGCACTCTGGAAGCAGAAAGAGAAATTCGCAAAATGAAATACCATACATGCCAGATTTTGTCTCATGACACATCAATTTTTCAATATAGGGTAGCAAAATAGGTTTAACAGTAAGAAATTAATTACACAGCTACATATAAGTTAAGCATAGAGAGCCAGCCATGTTTCACTACTGACAGATGGTACCACCGTTTACAAACAGAAATAAAATACTACTTGAGAGTAATGCAAACAGTAAATGAAACCACATCTAAAACATGAGGTAAAACAAATACTAGTAATTTAGTCGATGTTAAATATGCTCACAAAGAAATATGCAACGATGTACAACTACATGATTACTTTCCAACCCATTTAACAAAAGTGGGATGGTTGGTCATAAGAAAAATTTATACTCAAGTTCAAATTTTGGACAAATGACGCAAACAGCTGAGACATGACAAGAGGAGAAAAGTTTACTTGTGAGTGTAACTTTGCCCATGAGGAATACGTCTACAAGACTATTGATTAGTCTGTATGGAACCATCGCATTACAAGGCTACCTGACCTTGGTTCAACCAATCATCATATTTACAATATTTTCATGTTGGGCAATTACAGCCACCCAACTAAGTTGACCATATTGAAGGGTAAAAAAAAACTACAATATTGGGAAAAAAATGATGATATTTTTTATTAGTCCCACGCCGGGCTATATCTGCAATAAAGTGTTGCAATGCTGTTTCCAGAAGAGTCTTCTGGAATAGGGTCTGCATGGAATTACGCAATCCAATGGAATGATTTTTAATTTTTAAACAAGCTTGCTTACAGGAAATATGGAAGATCCTTGCATGATTTGATCTCAGGAATTCCATCTTTCAAACTACAAATGCCAACTGCTGTGATATCCTTTCCCAGTGGAAGAATTTTCTCTTCATCAAGCAGTCCAACCTTCAAAAGCAGCACACATTACTACACCAATCATCTCTATGAGAATCAACAAATCAAAAGCCAAAGCCAAGAAAATTGTGCAGCTTCAAGATAGAATCAAATTTTTGGGACATCAGAATCCACTCTAATTTATATTTACTCACAGGGTATTCATGGCCAAAGAGTGCCTGAAGGAATGTGTATGGTGAAGCACTAATAGGCTGCAACTGATGATAAACTGTCACAAGAGGAAGCGGATGTTTTGATCCATCCATGTTGACGATCAAATAATCAGATTGTGGTCGCCTACCACCTTCAACAAGAATGAAAGGAACCTGAAGATAAAATTTGTCACCATAGTCACAACCTCTAAAAGACCATGTGATTGACTCTATTCAACAATATACCAACAAATGAACTATCTATCCACAAATAAGTATCATGGTCATGGGTGCTTCCACAACAAAGCCATTTCCTAGACCAACATGCGACCAACATCAACACAGGTATAACAGACCTGGACTTGAGTCAAACAAGCACTAGGTATGTCCATAATTTAAACTAGTTTTTTTCTTTTTAATTCAGTCACTTGTCTGACAGTTGACATTGATCAAACACATGGTTGACACATTCTCAAAGAAGCCATGCCATAAACTTAATCCCCACCACAATAAGATCATAATGCAGTTAAATCTACAGAAATGTGGATGCCAACACAAATAATATAATAAATGCTGCATTTTAATGGGTGAGGGTAGAGTTCAAGGTGTTCGGCATTCAGTTCACTGTGCAGACTTACAAAATCAGTAGTTCAAACAGACATATCATGATGAAAATCAAGCTTATTTTATGTAATAATTGCATAATTGCATGATCACTCAAACATCCACCATTGATATCCTCACATAAAAGAAAATTTCAAAACCATCAAAAATTATAAGAAGCCTCACTTTGTGCATCTCAACTCAGAGAATAAATGATATCGGATTCTGCAGTATTTTATTACCAAATCAAACCAAACAAAGCCTTAAGTCCCATCAAATGAGGTCGTGGCTCTTAACTGACCCACTCTTAAAAGTTATCAAATGCTTCTCCCTCTTCTTATACATAGTATTGGCCACCACCAGGTCAGAAGCCAATGCAAAATCTAAGATACTCTCTCCAGCCTCATTTTTGTCACCAAAACCGTGTCCACCATGCACCCTTTCATAGCCTCGTTTATCTATGCTTACATGGCCATTAAAATCTCTACCTATAAGCAGGTTCTCTCCTACGGGCATCTCCTGTAAGATCTCATCCATTTGCTCCCAAAAATCCCTCTTAGTCTGATCATCTAATCCTACTTGAGGAACGTATGCACCACTATATTCCCTCCAATAACTAGTTTCACTAATATAATCCTATCCCTTTTCCTAATGACCGCCACTACATTTTCCACCAGATCCTTGACAATTATGATTCCTACCCCATTCTTGAGTTTGTCCTTACCACTATAATACAGTTTAAAATCGGTATCCTCAATTTCCCTAACTTTCTCACCCATCCACTTAGTTTCTTGTACGCAAGTTATACTAACTCTCCTCCTAATCATAACATCTACCAATTCCATCGTCTTACCAGTTACGGTTCCTATATTCCAAATGGCTACCCTAAACATGTAGTCTTGGACTAGTTTCTTTACCCGCGCTCGTCTAGAAAAACGCGAAAACCTTTGTCCATTTTTCACCACACCCAGGCGTCGATGCGGCGCCCCTTGCTCACTTTTCGAAACACCCGGAGGCAAGCGCAAATAAATTATTGACTGTAAATAATTTAAAAAGCTAATCAATCCATAAATATGAAGAGAATTGTTACAATGTTAGAACATACCATTCTTAAGGAGACAGATTCTTGCTCTTTCCAGGATCTTGAAAATAAAGAACGTAGATCAGAAGTCCATCCAAAAAAACCCCTCCATTCATTGTATATACACTTCAAAGCATATAAGACATAAAATCAAAACCAAGGTTATTTAAGAATATAAAAACAACTACATAACATTTACACAGAATTAGACAAAAATAGGTTGGAAACTTTTGAATGCTAATGTTGTAAGCAAACAAAATCTTGGTTTGGCATTTCATCGAATCATTTCGTGATCAATTTGATTGCCATGTGAACAAGTTACCCATATAATTATCCTTTTTCTTCCTCTCAAGATTTTAAGTATGGAGTCATCATGGATCTACCACCAAAGCAATTTAGAGCACACAATCAAGTGATCTTAATCCAATTACTATCCTCTTGGTTCTTCAAATGAAGCACAAATAATTCTAAAAAGTAGTTGTATCTATATCTGATTGGTTATCAATATTCGTCATATACTCACAAATACAAATTTAATACTTCCTAAACGTATTCAAAATTTGAAAATTAATTTCTTTAAATACTCTATGTAATGTATCTAAACTATTTTAAAATTGCTACGTTAGAGAATAACAATTGTTAGGTTAGGACAAATACAAGAATAATTTTTTAATTCCTTTGCTTACCTTAAGATGAAAAAATTTGTGACCTGCTTTTCCAAAATTTGTTGTATTGATGTATCCTTAATGTGCTATCTAAGCAACATGGACACTTCAGCGGAGGAAGCATGTCATGTCTAGCATTCTTCAAACACTCTTAAAAGCATGTTTGACACTCCTAAAACCATATCTGACACTGCTTAATTAAAAAATCAAAATCCTAATATCGGACTGACACTTTAGAAACACTTCTTGAATCCTCTAAACACAAATTTAAAAGTTAACTAACTAACTATTGATTCTTAAACTAATATTTAATTCCTAACAATAGTATTTTTCATTAAAAAAAATATAGTGTGTTCTCACCATTACTGGACGTAACACTAAAATTTATAAAAATAATATTTTTACAAACGTATCTTGGTTGTATCCGTGTTCTAATATTTTGGATTTTTGTTGTATCGTCATATTTGTATTGTATCCCATCCATTTTCCAAATTTAACAATGCATCATTGTTCTTCAAAATGGATTATGAAAAGAAACTAGAAATGCTTCACTTCAAGAATAAATATGTATTATCCAATAATGAAGGCATACTTCAAACTTCTTTAAGTCCTTCCCCATTTTTGGGGGGGTTCAAATAACGCCTTATCTTTCCTCCTCTTCTTTTTTCCCCCCCTTCCCTTCATCAAATTCAGATTGCCATCCATGAAATATGAAGCATAAGACTTCTTACACTCTTACACCATCAACAAGGTTTAGAGAATCTGGAAACAATGAAGACAAACTTCAAGCATTTTTCATTCCTTACCCCCATTCTTTCTGATGTTCAAATGACACACTATTTTTCCACTATTTTTTCCCCCTTCCCTTCATCAAATTCAGCTTGGTATCAACTAGGGTTCAGAAAAATCTATAAGCAATTGAGCATGCACTCAATTTTCAGACACATTTTTGGTATTTTACTTCAAAAACAGAGGAAAAGGTAATTTCCGAATTAACTTTTTTTTTCCCCCAATAAAAACAAGATCATATTCAGTCACACAAACTTCAAGCATTTTTCAGTCATTTCCCCATTCGTTCTGAAATTTAAATGAGGCCCTATTTTTCCACTACTTTTTTTTTCCCCTTCCCTTCATCAAATTCAGTTTGGTATCAACTAGGGTTCAGAAAAATCTATAAGCAATTGAGCAGGCACAAATTTCCATACACAAATTTGGTATTTTACTTCAAAAGCAGAGGAAAAACTAACTTCTCAATTATCTTCTCTCTTTTTCTTTTTTCCATTTTTTTTTAAAGAAAGACAAGAATATATTCAGTCACAAAGAAAATTTTTCCTAATAGTTGAGATTGACGAACAAGAACTGGAAACAAGAAACAAGAAACATATCATAGAGAAATGATGCAAACAATTATAACAACAATGAATTAAGGGCATTTTAGCAACTATACCGTTTGAATTCTATGCAAAATAACACCTTTCTCGCCGGACTCATGAGAAACGAGTACATTGGACCTCAAACTCTTCCAATTCCCATCAACAACCGATTTCGCTTCAACAACGCCACGAACGATCACAAGCTTCCCTCCCTCCGAATCATTCGAAGAAGAATCTGAACCTTCCGATTGAGACAGAACAGAACGGAGATCGGAGACGCGAAGCGAAGGGGCGTCACGAATTTTGCGGAGGGCGGAGGAGGCGGCGGTGAATTTGAGAATACTCCGAACAGCGATGTAAGCTAGGGTTATCCCGAGCACTGCTCCGTCGGCGGCTAGGGCTATTTGAGAGAGAATCGCAGCCGCGGCTTGTTCGTGGACCGACATCGGACTAGGGTTTGTACTGTAATCTCTCTTCTGCTTCTTCTTCTTTACATGTAATCGAGGGAGTGGTGGGGATTCTAGATAGAGAAAGTGGAGAGAGAAGGGAGATGGTGGTTGACGCGGTGGTGGGCGGAGGCGATTGGCGGCGAACGACGGAGGGGATCGCAGAGAGAGAGAGAGAGTGAGGCGGGGAGAGAGAAGGCTGAGTGGCTACGCTGATGACTGATTGAGTAATTTGTGTAGCTCGTGAGGGTATTTTCGTAAACTTATAATGACTTACGGGGGCGATAGAAGAGGAGGTAATTGCATTGAGGTTCGTTTCGGAACAGGTTAATTTAATAATTTTTTAATTATTTGGTTAAAATATGAGTTAAAAAAATTAATATGTTTGAGATGATTTTTTAACAATTTATGAAAAAATATGCAAAAAGTAGAGAGAAAAGAGATTTTTTGATTTTTTGGTATATATTATTGGCTTTTTGGCATTTTTAATAACTTTTTGACTAAACAGACCTGTTGCCAAACGAGGCCTGAGTGCTGCTATTACCACCTGTCAAAAGTTTTTAGACCCTCTATTTTATAATTTTTTTTATTATAATTATATCTTAAAGTAAAATTACATTAAAAGACATTATTAAATGGAACACATCAATAAAAACTAATACTCTATAATATTGGACACCCACCCCCACTTCCACCTCCAACTCCAACTATACGTATTTCATGTTTGTAAATCCTAAATCTATTACTTTTCATAACTAACTAACATAAACCCTAAATCTATTATTTTTCATAATCATCTTAAATCCTAAATGTGTCATCTTCATCACCATCATCAACGCTATTGAACTTGAAAGTTTTGTTTCAAGTATAACGTATACTCCATCACTTATTTCATTATGTAGAGCAATGGAAGACGAGGACAACAATTTTAGTGAGACCAGCGTTCCATTGGTAAGTTTATCTGTCTTGTATTAACATTCTCGGTTGTTTTCGGTCGTTCTTGTTTCATTCGAGCTGTTTGGTACTGGTTTGCTGACTGTTAGAATTATGTTCGGTAATATAGTACTGAACATAATCCTTTCGTTCAATACATAGGTTCCGAACATTAATACAGATAGTCAGTTATGTAATTTTCTTTGTTAAACTAACTTAAAATGGAAAAGAGTGAATTGGAATGGATTTAAGTTATGTATTTTGAATGGATTTAATTCATGTTATTTTAAGTTGTGAGTTAGAATGGATTCAAGTTACATAGTGATGAACAAATTTTGTTTGGACATACAATGCTGACAAGATCATTATTGTTCGGAAAAACAGTTATGATCAAAATATATTTTTTCGGCTACACAGTGGTGAACAAATTGTTTTGGGCTACATTTATAGTTATGATGGCGATTCAGACAATGATTTTGATGGCGATTCAGACGATGATTCTGCTATTCCTCATCTTGCAAACGGTTATGCAAATCCTGTAGAAATTGGAGTATCTTCGATCGATCTCAGCGATGACGAAGATACAAAAAGCAACGAAGAAGATGAGGATGAGAGGATGTTTGAGGTTACTGATTCGGCAATACGGAGAGCGTTCAAAGAAGATGAGAGTCGTCGGAATGCTCTGTTGATGGTCGAGACGAAGGAGAGGGATGAAAAATTAGGTGAGTGTGCATTTCATTTTGAAAATATTATGAATATGAGTAGATTTGGTAATAAATGAGGTGTCCAAAAAAATATTATTAAAATTTAAGATTTAGAGTTGGGGTCTAAAGAAATTGGGGGTCCAAAGAATTTTAGTAGGTGCTAATAGCAGCACTCATTCTATTACCACGCATTAATTTCTTTCAATACACACATTTAATGAATAATTTTTTAAAATACACCTTATAAAAATATAAATTTTCAGTACACATTTTTATATTTTAATATTGCCTTCATTTTTAATTTTAAAACACTAAGATTATGTTTGGTTTTAATTTTTGAATTAATTTTTAAAATTTTTATGAGAAAAATATAAATTAATTTGACAAAAATAAATATCTTAAATTTTTTTGTCCCTAAAAAAATGAAACCATATTGAAATAAGAAAACATTATTTATTTATTTTTGAAAACATATTCTAACACTATACTAAACAGAATCTTTTTTTTTTTTTTCATTTATCCACTCATCTTTTATTGTCGTTACCGCTACTTTCAACTCTCACCACCACCACCATCACCACTTTTAGTTCATCCTACTCTGCCCTAAACCTCTATATTCAACATTGAATGATTTGTAATGAGAGACTTGTAAGAGTGTATGATTCATGGCGGAAAGCGATCACAGGCGGATAAGAAAAGAGGCAATGCAAGGAGATGACGGATAAGAGAGGTGACGCTGACGATAGAGGATGGTTATGGCGCTTTAGAAATAGGGTTTGAGTAGAAGAAGATAAGAGTATTATGGTATTTTATTCTAGGACAAAATCGTATTAATAAAATTTTTCATTAAGTATGTGAACTGAGAAAAATTAATGTGCGGAAATAGAATAGCCAGAAGAATGAGGTTTTATTAGCATGATCATTTTATTTGAGTTTTAATTTTTTTTTAAAAAATCATCTAGTTTAAATCATATTATGTCTTATTTATGTCATATTACTTTTTTATTATATTATTTCAAACTTAAATCATATTTTAATTTTTTTTATGTAAAATTGAAAAATTAATTAATCTAACACTTTCTAAACAATTCCCTTAGGCCTCATTTGGCGATTTTTAGTTTTAATCAAAAAATTAAAAATTATTATAAATTATCCTATCACTCTCTATTTTTTTTATAAAAAAATCAAAAAATTACTAACATGTTCCCAAACGAGGCAGGCTTAGCTTATCTCTTCTATCAAAGGTTAGTAAAGTCCAACTTGACATGCATATCTTTTAATTTCCAACAAAATTATTTACCAAAATTAATTCAAATTTTAATTTTTTTTATGTAAAATTGAAAAATTAATTAATCTAACACTTTCTAAACAATTCCCTTAGGCCTCATTTGGCGATTTTTAGTTTTAATCAAAAAATTAAAAATTATTATAAATTATCCTATCACTCTCTATTTTTTTATAAAAAAATCAAAAAATTACTAACATGTATCCAAACGAGGCAGCCTTAGCTTATCTCTTCTATCAAACGTTAGTAAAGTCCAACTTGAAATGCATATCTTTTAATTTCCAACAAAATTATTTACCAAAATTAATTCAAAAAAATTAGGGGAAATTTTTATAATTTTACCCTTGTAAGAAAATTAATTTTTAATTTTATTAATTTAAATTCTAATATTTTTTATTTTTTATCTAAACTATCGCTCTTTTCAGTTAAGTAAAATTGACGAAAAATAAGATTTTAGCCATGTAACTATATATATATGATTTCTAAAATATTTTTCTGTATTGAGTTTAATAACTAAAACTATTTTTTCCATTGATTTTACTTAACGAAAATAAATCAAAATGTTATGATTTAAATTAATAAAATTAAATGCTCATGATTTATAAAAGTTGAAGTAAAATCAAAGTTCCTTTTTTTTTTTAATTTCCTTGGAAAATAAGTCAATTTGAATGTAGAGTTCACTTTAAAAAATGGAAAATTTACCCATAAGTCCTAGTTTTTGAAACGTTGAACCATTTAGTCCTAAAAGTTTTCTTATGCTCCATTTAGTCCCATTTTTACATCAACGTGATGTGAATGATGTAAATGATCTGATGTTTCATTCTATAATTTCAAAATTTATTGAAATCTGATGAACATTAGATGTTTTTCATCCTATATTTTCAAACATTATTGAGATTTGATGAACATTAGATGTTTGAAATCCAATATTTGTAACATGACTCTGATGTTATTAACATTGTATCTGATGTTATTAACATTGTAATGGGACCTTTCAGTCTATAAGAAAACTTTTAGGATTAAACAGTACATAAGTTATTAATTTAGGATTTATTAGTGCATCCCGCTTAAAAAATTAAAAATTATTTTTTTAAACTAAAATTTTGCTAATGCTGCTATACTAGCACCGCCAGTGACGGAGGCAAGTAAGGATCATCAAATTACACTTTTGCTTTTAGTTTTTTTTTTAAAAAAGTTTCAATTTTGTCCATTTAAATATGATAATTAATTTTTAAATTACTATTTTCTTTACATTTTCTCTTAAAAAAAAACTTTATTAATATATTATTATGTGTCACCAATTTTTTATAAATATATACTTATTACACAACTAATAATATATTATTATGTAATTCAATGATTCAAAATTGTATAAAAAAATTTTTAAAAAGTGATATATAGTAGTGTCATTGTATTATTTATTCACATTCTCTCTCATTTTTTTTTTCTTTTTTAATTTTAATTCCTATATGTATCTCTTTTGTGTGTATAACTTAATATAATTTCGTTTTCATTTTATAAGGCATGTGATTATTTTTCAAACTATGTGATCATCATACATAAAATCAAATAAAAATAAAAAATGATTAAGATCGGTTAACTCGAGTTTATATTTAAATACAACATTTGTATTATAGTGTTTTTTAATCTTACTATCAAATAAAAATTAAATGAAGCTTGATTGTGATTTTTAGTACAATTTCAACTCAATGGTACCCTTTCTGAGCCGAAATTCTGACTCCACCACTGAGCACTGCTACCATCACCTCCCCCACCACTCTATCGCTGCCACCATCCCCAGTGCCATTTGCCGCCACCAATAATATAATTCATTAGTACATTAATTTCAAAAAACACAACTAAACATAAAAAATGTTATCTTAAAAAATATTTTCTTAATAAAACAAAGGGATGGTTAGAAAATATTGTGTGGTGGATTAGATTTATATTTAATTTATATATTTTTATTTTACAATTCGGGATTATTTTTTAAACTTTTTCTTTAAATTTTAATGCTCTACATACAATTTAATTTTTAATTTATTAATTTGCCAAATCTTACCTGAATTGTCAACGAATGAACTTCGCTTGTGTGCATGTGACACCACGTGTAAGTTTGTAAAAGAGTTGAGTTAGGTAATAAATTATTTAAGTTTGGTTAGTATACTTAATGAATTTCACAAGTATATTTGTTAATGAGTTAATCTTAAACGAATTTTAATCATGATGATAATAAGTTGAACTTTAGAAATTTGATTGTTTATAATGCAATAGAAGTTCATTGAGTCAAATTTTTTAAGAGAACTTGAG